TTATCAATCAATGTTCAACCTTTACCAGTATATATATCATTACTGCATGGCGATGAACCCTCTGTTGGACACTCCAGCCCATCATCCCTCCCTCTCTCTAGCCGCTCCGTTTATCCCCTCCCTCATCCAGGTAGCCATGACGTCAAATTTCAAAGAAATACCAGTAAGCGGCTTACGAGAGTCCGGAGTGGCGACGCACTAAGATTTCTGGTCGCCCATCTAAACATCTTTTATATTACAGGCTAGGAGAGATCCCGAATTTTTACCTGGGTTAGGCTAAGTTTGTCAGCCAATCTACATAGGACCGTCCAAACATTCCAACCCCCTCCTAATTGTGTGTGTAGGCCTACATATATGGACTACGGTACATTAGTTTATTTTAAAGTCTTAAATTTTGTAAGCTTAAGAACTGTCATTTAGTTTCAAGTAATTATAAAGTTTCCTTAAAGTTTTTAACTTTTACTTCAAAATTACAGCAGCACTGTTAGTTTAAATTAAACTTTAGGGGGGGCCTCGTAGCCTGGTGGATTGCGCGCAGGACTCGTAATTCTGTGGCGCGAGTTCGATTCCTGCACGAGGCAGAAACAAATGGGCAAAGTTTCTTTCACCCTGAATGCCCCTGTTACCTAGCAGTAAATAGGTACCTGGGAGTTAAGTCAGCTGTCACGGGCTGCTTCCTAGGGGTGGAGGCCTGGTCTAGGACCGGGCCGCGGGGACACTAAAACCCCGAAATCATCTCAAGATAACCTCAAGATAACCTAAACGTTCTTTGTTACTCTAGTTGTCACTTAATACGATTTTGAAAGATTTATTTAGCTGCCGGAACTTATTACAGTTGAGTAAATAGGAACCGACGTAATGTCCATTTGGAAGTTCACAAATATTTATACTTTCCTCTGTCGTGTTGATCCCAATCTCCCGTGCATATGGATAGCCTAGTCGGTCTCATGTTCATTATTCACTCCTGGTGGTGGTTGTTCTGAAGGTGGTTAACTTGTACCCAGTAACATCTCTGTACCAGGCACCTGATGGGGGTGTGCTAGAGGGGCCGTGTTCCAGCAGTTATATACCTGCTTGATGGGGTTCTGGGAATTGTTCTACTCCCAAAGCCCGGCCCGAGGCCCCAATATTCAACACAGCTCGGTTGGTCCGGCACTCCTTGAAGAAAACTATCCAGTTCTCTCTTTAAGAGATCTCCACGGTTGTTCTGGCAATATCTCATACTCTCTGGGAGTATGTTGACCAACCATGGACCTCTGATGTTTATACAGTGTTCTCTGATTGTGCCTATGGCACCTATGCTCTTCACCGGTTCTATTCTGCATTTTCTTCTTTCTTGGGACCTGGCCCTCCAGTATTTTCCACGTGCATATTATTTATATATGTTTCCAAACCCGTGTTATAGATTTGTGCAGTTTACTGGGATGTTGACATTAGATAATCTTTACGTATTCATTCTTTGGCAAGCATGCCCGCAATTTCCTTTCCATAGGTACCTACATGACTAGACACCCAATTATATTAGCAAATACAAGTAGAGGCGGGTCACCCAGCTCACCATCGAGGTATAGGAGAGTCACCCAGCATACCAAAGTACAGGTGTTGTGGCCGCCAAGTTCGGGCGCAGACACAAGTACAGCGTGTTGCTGCCCGTCTCATCACACCTCAACACTTATTAACGCACAAATCCTTCTAGTCATAACCCAGCACGTGAACCATCATTAGTGATCATTAGCTGCTTGGAAGATTGGGGGGGCACGATAAATTTATGGGATTAGTAAGACGAATGATTTCGAAAACAAATGTAACTACTTTCGGGTGTTAAAATGTACTACTGAATACGGAAGCAAAATTACAGGAAACCTAACCTTAGGCAAACTGTGCAGCTGTAATTTGCATATATTACAAACGTAACTAAACGTACTTGCTGCTGCTGACAATGAAGTTTTGGGTTAACATCCAGGAGCGAGACAATACAGGCAAGAAGACAAGAGGTGGAGTGAGACAGTTGGCAGCATACTACGTGACCTTGCAGCTGTGTTGGGTGGGCGCCACGCACCAGCCGCCGCTTCCACCACAGTCCTCCTCTGGTGTCAACAAATCCCCCATTGTTGCCACTCACCAACCCCATCTCCAGCCTTTGTTTCACCTTTTTTATAGCCTACACGTTAATATTTATCCTTGACAATGAACTCTCAACGGTGTTCACAGTCAAGCCAGTAATGCAAGGGCGCATCAATACCAGGTAGTAGGTGGCATTTTGGGGTCGAAATCAACCTTTCAATCGGTATAGGAGCAGGCAGCCCACATAACCACAATACTTCCTGTGTGTGTGCATTATCCACCCACTGACTCATATTGCCTATGACCACCGGACATCCTCATTCTCGATGACGGTAAAAAGCCTAACAAAATGAACTCTTATGATCCTTTCATCCGCGGGACGAGGCTAGAATCACTTGTTCTTCGGCAGCTCACCGAGAAAAAAGCCCAATATTATATAATTATTCCCTAACATACTATGAACATTCCACTTCGTTGTCAGGCTAAACTATCCAACATCAGTTTGAATCTAAATTTTGTTTAACCTTTCACAACTTTCAAAAGCAAGTCATACTAGCACACCACCATATGGTCAACATGTCTGGAAGTGATATTGCCCCACGTACAGCTGCCGCGATTGTCTCCAACTTCACGTTGACTTTCTGCTTTACAGTCGTGTCGGAATTTCGCACCTGAACACGGGAGAACATTTAATACTTGCTACTGGGGTGGAAATACATGTACGTATATATTTTATGCAGATTACAAAACAAACTTTACGAAAATAATGTCTCGGATTTTTTTATGAAAAATGTCCCGGAATTTACTGCTGTTTCGTAGTTTATCTTGGGTTTTTAAGTGGGCTGGACGGTTTCGATTCATGCAGAACGGCATTCAATCCTCGACCATCCAAGTGGTTGGGCACCGTTTCTTACCCAGTCCCATCCCAAATCCTTATCCAGATCCCTTCCCAGTGCTATGTAGTCGTAACGGGTTGGCGCTTTATCCTGATAATTGTAGCACTATTTGTATCCTCTTTGTTGAATAATTTATTCGTTTCCCTTGTTCGGGTTGAACGTAGACACAGTAGTCGCTTCTGTATATATTTATTGACCGTAACAAATTTCTTTTTTTTTTTGAGTCAGCTAATAAGAACACAAAGTTCCAATTAGCACGGGCTATGGTGAGCCCGTAGTGGACTTTCCTGACACAGGTGCTGAGCTGTAACTTGCAATTTCATTCATTTGCACATATAGTTATATATATACTCTGTTCATGAAGCAGACCCGTGCTTATCACTAGTGAAAACGAGTGAAGTACTCGTCAAATAATGTTTTGCTTCTGGTTTATTTTATAAACTTAAAGTTCATAAAATATTATAAAATATTTTATTAAAAATAAATTTATAAAGTTTAAAATGTGTTGTTTATTAATCTCAAGGCTTCGCCACTTTCAACTAGTCGCTAAGCTTAGATGGACTAACCATACAGGAACTGATCTCTCCACACCACAGATTACAGCTACACACACGGGGAGGGAGGGAATTGTCATGGGGAAAGCGCCAAGCCATTAGACTATATAGCACTTGGAAGGGATCAGGATAAGGATCTGGGATGGGACCTGGGGGGGGGGGGGGTCGAAGGAATTATACCCAACCACTCGCACGGTCGGGAAAAGAACGGCAACTTTCATGAAGCGAGATCTACCTCAAGTAATCCCAGGACACTGGGATTTATTAATCGAAGCGTTAGTAACAAGACACCTGGTGTTCTTCAGCTATATCTTGCTCTGGTTAGGCCCCATTTAGATTTTCCAGTTCAGTTTTGGTCGCCGCACTATAGAATGGATATAAATTCACTTGAACGTGTCCAGCGTAGGATGACTAAGTTAATTCCCCAAATTAGAAACCTTTCATATGAAAAAAAGATTAACAAAGCTTAAATTGCATTCACTGGAAAGGCGAAGAGTTAGGGGTGACATGATAGAGGTTTACAAGTGGATGAATGGACATAACAAAGGGGGATATTAATAGGGTATTAAAAGTATCAACACAAGACAGAACACGAAACAATGGGTATAAATTGGATAAGTTTAGATTTAGGAAAGACTTGGGTAAATACTGGTTCGGTAACAGGGTTGTTGATTTGTGGAACCAATTACCGTGTAACTTTTACAAGTAACAATTCATTTTATTTTATTGTTTTAAGCGTGGGTTGGACATGTATATGAGTGGGATTGGGAGGTTATAAATAGGAGCTGCCTCGTATGGGCCAATAGGCCTTCTGCAGTTACCTTTGTTCTTATGTTCTTATATTGAACATTTGTTAGCTGCTAAACACACACATGTATGGCTTACTCAAAACACAGTTTCAAATGTAGATATGATAGAGCCCAGTAGGCTTGGGAATCTGTACACCAGTTGATTGACAATTGAGAGGCGGGACCAAAGAGACAAAGTTCAACCCCCGCAAGCACAAATAGGTGAGTACACACACACACGGATATGCCCTGAAAAAAATTATGCTATTTGTGCTTGGCAATATATATGCAGCATTTTAATACTATCTGATCTTCACATTGACTAAAAATAACTAGCATTTCAAGGCCTGTCATTGTTTAAACAACATTTCCAACAAAATCAACACAGCTTACACCACTAGTCAATACACGCAAAGCATAATAAAGGCCATTATTTTCAGCCATTTAAACAGGTGGCATTTAATACAATGTTTGGGCTACAAAGACGTTCTTTTTTGTTATATTCACAACACAGACGTAGTTCAGAGAAACGCAAAAGTCTTACGAAACAAAGATAAAAGAAAAGGGACAAATAAAATCTTGAAAGGAAGGTCCGGCCGAGTTCTTACTACTATCTTAGCGTCCACAGGTTCCCACAGGTGAAAGAACGCTCAAACATACTTTCATTTACCGTATTAACTGCTAAAGATAACACTTACAATTTGGAGAATGCATACTGTTAGAAGGAAACATCGTCCAGAGTGTTGGCCACACCCCATTCTTTTTTAAAAGATCCGATAAAAAGCGATAAATTCCCAATGGTTACCACGCCATTCGGCACAAAAAGCACCACACCCTCACTCACTGATGGCAACGCCTAGACTGACGCTCGGCTGTCTAGCGAGCAATGTTTACTCCACAGGTAAACTAGTTCCAGAGGTATAAAATAAAATAAAATGTTTATTTAGGTAAGGTACATACATAAAGTAAATTTTTACAAAGATTGGTTGACTTATAGGTAGAGCTAGTACATACAATGCCTAAAGCCACTATTACGCAAAGCGTTTCGGGCATAACTCAAACAAAAGGTCGTTCGGCACACCATCTTCCACTCTAAATTACTTCGTTAATATATCTATGTCGGTTATTTTTCACCTTTAATTGTTATAATTGTATATTGATTTGATTTTACAATTATATAAATAATACAGGAATGAGTTTGTTAATATTACAATGAACCTCACACACACACACACACACACACTCCGTTTTCTGTAATAGGTAATGGATAACTATATAATATAATACGTGTCGCAGACGCGGGATTTTCAGAGAAAAGCGAAATGTGGGGTCTGGTCAACGCCCCATTAAGCGGGGCCAGCACGTGAGGAGTTCCGCCTCACCTGCCTGGAGTACTTAAGGGGTCAAAAAGAGAAAGCTATGTGAGTGACAAGGTAACTGAGGAAAGGAGGATAGAAGCACAAACCAGTGAATCTGTACGATGGTACAACATGGTTGCAGCTGGCAATCCCAATCATTATGGCCGAAGAGGAGGACGATGGAGAGAATCAGTAATAGCGAGAATCCGTTTTGGATACAAATATCCTTGGAGATATGGAATGGAAATGTAGCGAGTAGATTATCCCAATAATATACTCGCTCCAAATGCATTGTTAATATTCCTGTCAACCTTTGGAGATGAATGAGGTGAGGCGTTGCCCGGGCAACACGGTGAGGTGTTGCCCGGGCATATAAGCAGCAGAATAGCAAACATTAACCAGAGTCTACTTTCAAGTGTGGTCTAGAGCAGACACTTGCGAGATACTGTACCGACGCTCAGTGCGCTCAACTCACACCAAAGTATCACCTGTGTACTTCTGTATATTCGACCAAATATATATATAGTATCTTAGTGTCTGTGTTTATTTGTCACCATACTTTACGTAACAATAGAACCGTTACAGAAACAACAGTTGGTCAGCGAAGTTGCAGAATCTGTGGTGAGAGTGATGGATACCGCCTTGACCACTATCTACGAATGTGAACACCTAAGAGACATTAGAAATATGTGTAGAATAATAAACCCCACATTGTTTGAGTTAGGAAAACACTATTTGTCAAATATTGATACAAGCTTTTAAGGGTTGATAGATGTTAATCTTCTTGTTTGAAGAGCTGTTCACTTGAGACAGTTAAGCAAGTCCCAGCTGTGTCTGGGTACAAGTGACAGGATGAACAACCCAGCGGGTTTTCTTATTATTGGGGAGTGTTGTACATGCTGCTATGGCGGTGTGTCCACTCACAAGATGAGTGGCGCTGCCCAATAAACTCGCCCCCTCGGGTGGGCAAAATTTAAAAAATGTAAAATTTAACTGGGCTATTCACAGCTCTGTATAAATTGTCTATACAGCATACCTAGGTCATAAAAGTATTTGTGTGTATGTCTGATAACATACTACTTGTGAAGGAGGAAATGTATATGTTTATCTCTCAGAATGTTTGGTAATATGTTTATTTGTGATGTGTAATACATACATCTCTATGTATGTATTAACACGTTGTACTGAATGGGGTGAGAATAGCTTGAGCTATCTCATCCCTTTGTATGTATTTTACCTCAATAAACTTATTTCAATTTCACAGCTCTGTATCGGATACAGCTGTCAAGAAAAGGAAGGAGGTAATTTGATTCCTATTCAACTCTCTTGGAAGATTGTTAAGAGAGGTGAGGAAAGGCTAGAAAAGACTAAGGTCATGAGGCCAGTTAGTTTATGCAGGCGATGAGTCACAATAACGTGGCTAAAGTAAGTTGACCAGACCACACACTAGAAGGTGAAGGGACGACGACGTTTCGGTCCGTCCTGGACCATTCTCAAGTCGATTGTGAAGAATGGTCGTCGTCCCTTCACCTTCTAGTGTGTGGTCTGGTCAACAGTTAGTTTAGTTCATTGATTATGCACCCCATACCCATCTTGTGGGCGGTAGTGGAAAGGGTTACAGAGGCACATAATGGGCTCAGGGACTGAACCTCACAATTCATTTAGCTAAGCAAGTTACAATCTTGATGAGGTAGTTACAAAATTCAGTATAAGTCGTCACATCAACAATGGGTTCGAGATCGACCACAAGTAAAGCAATAATGTCATCAACATATTTTGTTATCTAACTCAAAATTTTCTGGTTTCATAATTTCATCATTTAGTGTTTCCTGCAGATAATGTTGTCCATTGCATATAAAATTCATGTAAAATTTTCACCAAACAGGTGAGAATAAGTCACTGGACGGTTTTTCGATTTTATTGATCAAGGGACAATTATCTTCACAAAACTTATGAAGATATAAAAGAGACAGTTAGAAATAAAAGAATATTAGAAAAATTATAAATATGAAACAGAAATTTCTTGCCGATTCTATAAACTCCAGTCATCTTTCCAATCAAACATTATGCTTCTCCAATCATCTGTCTGTTTCCCTAACGTTTTCCTCCGTGCATCTTCCGTCTTCAACTTTTTCCAAGGTGTTATTTCTCCATGCAAGAATGGAAGCCTGGTGGAATTCAAATAAATTTCTTAAGGAATAAATACTCACAAAGGGAAGAGGTAGCTCGAGCTATTCTCACCCCGTGCAACGTGTATCACAACAATATATATATAGACATATCACAAGCATACTACTGACCATGTACATTTCTTACCTGTTGGAAGACGACCATAGGAGCCCGGGGACCAGAGGGCACCGGGTGAAGGGGGGTCGAAGGCTCCAGCCTAAGTGGAGTCCAGCAGCAACATTCTGCTGGAGTCCAACAGAATCCAGCAGAATGGAGTCCAACATTCTGCTGGAGTCCATTTCAACATTCCATTTCTTACCTTGAGTAAAGGAAGGCGACTATAGGAACCGGGATCTAGAGGGCGCCTGGTGAAGGGGTCGGAGGAGGACTTAAGCAGCAGTTGGATCAGCGTCGACTCGTCTACCACCATCTTGGACGTATGCAGCAGCACCGGCGACTTCATCAGCGTCTGTGTTAAGCTGTCTAAGAATTTCTCCGGAAGCTCCCTGCAAGATTCCTGACATGGTATTGGTAAATGATCTAATTTTAATCCGGAATCTGTTACCTTCTTGCTCAGTAAAGACAGATACTCTGCGTGGTCAAGTCGCAGAACCTGATATAATGTTGTACTCTGTTCTGAAATTGTTTTGTAAATATTATCTAAGAGAGAGACGAGCACCAAGAACCTGGTTTCATGATCATGTTGTAATGTTGAGCTCATTGTAACTATGGAAGCCGTGATAGTAATCAGGGAAGTTGCTACGGTCTGAACCAGGCCAGGACCTCCATAAGCTGTTATGGCGGGAGGTCTAAACACCAACTTTATAAATAGATTCAAAACCTTCTTGAAGACAAATAAAATATCACATTTTGTAAATATACCTGCTTGATATCTCAATATACTACTATCAGCCTTTTCCTTTAAGAGTTGCACAAGATGGTTGAAAAATGCTGCTTCTGGTCCAATATTAAGTTCCCTTATCTGGTCTACGGCTGCAGCAGCAACAGCATCAAGGTGCTTACATTTATTAAGGTTCTGTAACACCTCCTTAAGAGAGTAAAACAGATTAACCTCCGAGCCCTGGGGCAAAAGATGCTCAAGTTCAATGTATGGACTAATGTTCACCAGTCCTGCAGCTGCTTGCTTTCCTGACCTGTCATCCTGGAAGTACGTCATTGGCCACATGCCAACAAACCGAATCATTTCCAGACGCAGGTAAGGATTGGGGCACAAGTCGCTGTCGCTGAACAGCGCGAGTATCCAAGGTTTAAAGGAAGTAGAGCCGAGTGAGCTAAAATTTATATCTGTATCAATCTCCCAGTATTGTGCTAGCTCGCCAATTTTCCAAAGGATAGTTTCCCAGAGCCCTGTCATCTTGACCGACATTGTTTCCTTATGCATTGAAAGCGCATAAGCGCACAAAACTCCAAGATGTGTTTTGCAATTGGATAAAACCGTTGGATCAGAAAGGTTATTACAATACGAATCAATGTCTTTGTCTGACTTGTTAATAACTTCTAAAATCTGGTTCACAGAAATTCCTGAAGAAATAGTCATTACTTCAGCTATCACATATGATGGGAGTACAGGAAAAGTATCACTTAGCGGTGTAAGTGTTACATTCATGGTCATGGAAATGACAATTAGGAACCGAACAAGACAGCTGTTGTTGTTTTAGATGTAGCTACTCAGAACGAAGTATCCATGTAGCCACGGGGAAAGCCCGTAATTAATAACTGTGTTTGTCTCTGCAGAATATATAGGGGTGATGGGTGACGCGTCACCCCTACTATACGGCGTCAATATGTGAGATGGTCACATAGTGACCACCTCATTATCTCTCATTAGTAACCTTCCACGACTCTGGCATTCTGCCTGACTAATGATATATTAAATATGGTAGAGAAAGGATCGCAAAGCTTTGCATTCTTTAAGCACCCTGACAAACACACCTGGGGATTTGTTTGGTTTGAGTTTTACTATTTGTTTAATAATAATCCCTGGTAACTGTTAGACTAGTCAACCTGTCTTCGTCCCCCACCCACATAGACTTGTTCGGCAGAAGGAATAGAGTTAAGTTCTTCTTTAGTAAATACAGAGATAAAATATTTATTAAAAATATTACTCATCTATTCGTCATTATCCGTTATCTGACTTGTATCGGTTTTTAATGGACCTATCCTTTCCCTCACCTTTGTTCGATACAACTGAAAAAACCTTTAGGATTTGTCTTAGCTTGGCCAACTATACGAACTTCATAGTTTCTTTTTGCTCTCCTTATCTCTTTTTTAACATTTCTAACCAGTTGTTCTTGTTCTAAACTGACTTCCCC